CGTGGTTCGTGTTGTTAGAACTGCTAGGGTGATAGTGATTCTGGAATTGAGATTGAATTGTTATTGTTGAACTGACTAGATATTGAGTTGTGTTTTGAAATTGATACCTGGATTTTGGTCGGTTATTGAATTGGTTTTTATTTATTGGTTAGTTGATTGTTGCCGCTGGTTTGATGTGATGGTTTGATTGGGTTATTAAGAGTTATCATTTATGGGAATGTTAATTCGAATCTAATGTTAAAAAAAAAACGGGTCAGGTTATTTCATTAATCAAACACTATTTAGTCTACAGGGGAATAGGCCGTCTTCCCATTAGAGAGTTATATGTTTTGTTTGGCCGAGTCCTAACGTTGTTTCAAGGTGATCCAACTCATATTTCTCATTTGAACTAGACCAGAGACTATTCTTGCTGATATAGAAGCTCTAAGAGCTGGCCATTATTTTTTTTAAGCTTACATTATGTCCAATCTGTGTTATAAAATCGGTCGGGCCTATGCAGATCTAGGCGATCAAAATCAATCATGGGTTTCTATTTTAGCCAAATCGGTCAATTCAAAGTTAACCGTTTTGTACATTGTCGTTCGATTATCACCTCGTAATTTTTTTATCACCACAAGAAAACATTGGTTTCGTAACACAGTTCATTAAAAATTTTGTTCCGATGGAACCTTCTCTTGTACCGGGGATAGCCATTTATGCATGAACCGAGCCATTATTTTGTCAGTATTGACATGTAGAATGGGACTCTATCTTTATTCTCGTCCGATTAATATTGCGCCAAATCAACGCATTTAGTTAAAATCAATCATGTCGTTACATTATTAATACAACATTAGTATTATATGATATAGTTTCTCTTATGTGATCTCTTATTCATATATTTCGAACATTGTGTGTTTCGGATGGATAGTGAGAAAACCTTAACAAGAGAGGTTATCTCCAGGTTCGACTCCAAGCTTGCCACAATAGTCTCGGAAGTAACCAATCCTCTTGGCGACGGTTACAGAGTCTCCTCCGCTACACTCCATGCCATTTATTGCCCTGATCGTCGCACCAAATCCCTGGTTAAATTTACTGCGAACATTAGTGGTCCAGAACCAGAAAGCGGTCTTGAAGGCAAGAACTGGGTCTTGAGCCACTTTCTCTGGGGAAGCCAATAGGTTCTCATTTAGGTCTCTGCCACAGAGACCGTAGTTGTAGTTCCAAGAGAGCTGGATGGGACCACGGCCATAGTAAGCCTTTCCTTGTGCACATGGGAAGTCTGTGTTACCTCTGTCGCAGTAGTTCTCGGCCTTGGCTGGTCCATCGATTTCCTCAATGTAGCACATGACTGCAACGAGGTATATTCAAATGGTTACAAAAAGGAAACCTAGTGGTGTTCATATAATATAGGCCGAACCAATATTTCTATATAATCTTATTGATTTAACTATCTTATACCAAATCGAAACTGAATTCAGTTAAATCAAAATGAAGCAATAAAACTGTAATGAATAAAAAATCTCGATCATAGATAGTTATCTTAGCTAGTAAATTTTTTTCTTAAGTCGTAGATAAATTTTATACAATTTTATTAATCCAAAATCGAATTGAACCAATACTTGTTTGGGGCTGAAAAAATACGGTTTATCAAAACTAAAGTAAAACAAAAAATGAAATATCCGGAAATAAACCGAAGAATAACTGAATATGCCCAATATATGATTTCACATACATATATAACTCGAATTCGAAAGTGACTAGGACATGTAGCTTAGTAGTTTAAACCCGCATATTGTTTGTTGTTGCAAAACAAAAATCAGAAAG